TTTGAGTGGAGGCAGGAGGAAAGGTTAATTTTTCTTAGGAGATTAGGAAGGCGAGTAAGTAAGTGTTGTAGCCATGATGAGGTTAAATGTTATCTAAGAAAACATTTCATAACAGAACCTGTCCCCTTGATAATTACTGTCCTGTGAAAGGAAAATGCCAATTTATGAAAACCTACACACACTAAAAACACTATTGTCAGTTGTTAGTAGAGCATTAGTTCCGTGATGAAATCCATGGTGACCAGGGCGTGGGCAGGAGGAAGAGAAAATTCTGGTTCACAGGTGCGATCATTGGTCATTTCCTCCACAGTAGATTTCACCTAAGACTTGATTCCAAACCACCAGAAATCAAGGACAACCATGTGGAAAGTTGTGTGTTCCCGCAATGACTAGCTGTCGGTCTCTCTTGTCACCCTGGGTAATCACAGTCCAGGCATCTCTAATGGGCAGAATTTTACCAAATAGAGAAGTCTTGGGCCAAGGAATACCTTGTTGCTTACCTAACTAGCATGTGTTTTGACTGATCAACCTGTTTGGTGATCTTACTTTCCATTAGGAGCTTTTGTCTTTGAAATAAATCTGAGGTATTAGGAACAGGGAAGAATTTCCTTTGAGAACATCACTGATTTAGGATCCAGAAGGCAGAAGTCAGTATTTTTAAGAACGTTGTTTTTATACTTGACATCATGCTCTTCCTCTAAGATATAACTATCTTCTGAAAAAAATGAGGCAAGAATCATGACTCATGACTTCTAGTGTTCTTAACTCACTAATTCTCCAATTGTCATTTTCTATTCAAAGCTTTTATTAGATATTCAGGCACATAAACGTGGTTCATAATTATTGAAGCAATTTTTCTAATGATTAGCAATTATCATAGTGGTCTCTATTATATGTACCTTAATTGTTAGTACAGTATTAATTAATAGATGTTCCATGTTTTAATAAAGAGTGAAGGATAACCTTTAAACTCAAGTATAAAGGCAGATGATGATATGATATCTGACTGAAATAATGTAGGTGAGAATTTACTTCAGAATGAAATATTGTGTATTATTTCCTATGAACATAAGGTTCAGTGACAGAGTACTTGTTACAGCTGGGGCTGAAAAGAAAATCAGCAGCTAGAATACAGTGGATCTAATATCCATAATGGACTCTGATCTGAAAAGTACTAAGGAGTCCTGCGGATTCATCAGGGCACAACACCCAGGCTGCAAAGCGTTGTATCAAGTGTTGTATGGAGCTTCTACTGAGTGTCAGCAAGTATGTGGAGAACTTTAAAAAGTCTAAGTGGACATTTACATATTAATGTTGATTTTGGAGAACACAGAGATCTACATATTAACTATCAATGCTACACCACTTCTTTCTAGTAGCAAAGAGACCAGCTTCTCCTAACTCACAAATTGTTGCCTTTGAGGTGACAGTGACGTGTTGTTTACATTTGGACATCTAGGTTATATAACAAATGCCTTTTACGTGCTGGGCATTGTTCTAAGCAAAACAATGGCTGTAATATAAAATCTCCTAAATCTTCCGAGTGGTAGGTAGTGGGGGATGGGTCCAGATAGCAAACAAAAAAGAAAGATATTTGCCAAGCATGAAGGGTGGGAGAGAAGGCATATCTCACAGGGAGCTCAGCTATGCTGTGACTTGTAACTGTGTTTGTCCTCTAGTCACTAAATGCTGGGGCAGGAAGCCAATGGAGGTGGACTCACATTTATCAGAGTGGTCAGGAAAGGCCTTGTTGGGACGCAGTGGTGAGAACAAGACATTGACAATAACCTTGAGGACAGCGTTCTAGAGAACAAGACGTTGGCAAGGACCTTAAGCATAATATTTTTAGATATGGGCTCTACTGGATGCAGAGCTCTGAGTGTGGGTCCAGTCTGGTGAGTACAAGCTACAGGAAAAAAATTTTAAAAAGCCAGTGTTTTTGAAACAGAACAGGAGAGACTGAGAAGAGGTAAGCCTGGGAGGGCAGGTGGGAGCCAGGATGCAGAGAACTTTATAGACCACAAGAGGTTGTTGAGGATGTTAAGCTGCAGCAAGAAGCCACTGGAAGTTTTTAAGCAGTAGTGATGTCAGCTGATTTGCTTCTTGGGTGGTCCCTTTGGTTACAGAGAGAAGCACGGACAGAATGGGGTGTGGGGTGCGGTGAGGGCCATGGGCTGAAGCAGGGAGCCCAGAGTGGGGATGTTACAAAAATCCAAAATGTTGTTTTGCCTTGGACTAGGGGGTCAACATTGGAGACTGAGAGACAGCTGGGGTTGGCTTGTGCTTTGGAGGTAGAGGCCTTTCTAATATGATGGGTGGTTCTAGAAAGCTGGAGATTAAGCAGAGTTAATCTGTTAAGAAACATCACTACAAAAATCGTACACTTAAGTACCTTCAAGCTCAGGAAAGAACAATGAGAGAAAGTGGTATGGCATGGTGAGGTCACATAAGGGACAGAGCTGGTGTAGCCAGGGGTGTTTGGGGTGGGGGCAGGCTCTGGTGGGAAAGAGAAGGAGGCGAGAAGCAGTGGGGGAGTAGGGGACCAGAGGTGCTGGGGCCTGGTGGGAGGGAGGGACTGTAGTGGTGATTGAGAAACAGACCCCAGAGGCGTGGTGGGGCTGGCAGAAAGAGGATCAAGAGTGACCGGAGGTAGGAACCAGGACCTGAGCCGCCTGCATATGGTCTTGTAGGCCGTTTTCAGGAGTTTGGTTTTTATCCTGATGAGTGTGGAAACTTTTAAGGAATCTGCCGCACAGCTCAGGTTGCTTCCTCTACCTTCTGTACTTTTCTGTGATTGAATTTGAAATAAGCAAATGGCTGAGCTGCAAAGTGACCTTCAAAAAACAATGAATCTGCTGGCATTTGATTAGCATAATTAGAGAGACTGTCAAGAATCAGCTCTCCTGGCCATCTTCCCTCTCAGTGGCCACTGAAGGTCTCCAGGGAGCATCAGCCGGGAGGGACGCCATTGATGTTTTCCTTTGCAAACTTGCACTGCCTTTGGCCACCGCCCCTGAGCCTTTCTGTGGCCTCACAGGCTGGCAGCCTGAAAAATACGCATGACACATGCCGGTGCGGGTAAACTAAAATCACTGATGGGAAAATTTTAGGTGTTGAGTTACAAAACCATGTCAGATGGTGTCAGGAAGGTCGTGAGATAACTTCTACAAATTAAATAGACACTAGATGTTCCTGTCAGTGTCCACTCCCTGGGACGAAAAGATGAAAATCATGCAAGAGAGAGCATGGGGAGACCACACTGGTGGGGGTGCTCTCCAGACCCTCAAGGGAGGCTACTCGGGGCAGACAGCATGGTAGGGAGAGAGAAGACGAGGGTCTCATGCCATGATTTGGAACGCCACTATGCTGTTTGGTGACTCAGCACCTTCCCATTTGCCACTTGTGGTTGGGTTTTCTGGGGCTTATAATGGAGGGGAGCTGTGAGCAGGCCTTTTGTTTGCCATTGAAAGTGACTTGGACATGTCTCTTCTTTTGAGCCTAGGAGAGACTGGTTATTGCCCACACCAAATGATCTAGCCATGGTTATGGGGTGGGGACAGCAAGATGTGACAGTGGAGCATGAATTCCTTCTAAATGAAGTGAATCCATTGAAGAGTATGCATTCTATAATCCCATTTTTATAATTTCTTATGAATTATTTTAAAAAAGGAAGATTAAGTAGTATGTTCATTTTCTAGATATACAAAGGAAATTATGGCTGTTCTCGCTGTTAAGTACTAACAAAAGGCAGTTTTAAGAGTGAATAGGGGCACTGGGGTGGCTCAGTTGGTTAAGTCTCTGATTCCTGATTTTGGCTTGGGTCATGATCTCATGGTTTTGTGAGTTCAAGCCCTACATTGAGTTCTGTTCTGGCAGAGCAGAGCCTGCTTGGGATTCTCTCTCCCTCTCTCTCTATGCCCCTCCCTCACTCATGCTTGCTCTCTCTCCCTCTCTCTCTCTCCCAAAAATAAATAAACAAACATTAAAGAGTGAATAGACAACAGCATTAAGGAACATGGTAGTGAAGTATATAAGGACAAATCAGAGTCGTTGGCCTGATGGATACCGCATGTAAGCCGTGAAATCTGTTTCCTAAGGAGTTCGTAAAGTAATGTTTTCTTTCCCCCAGATATGGCTCTCTTGCTAAGCTGCAGAGAGGAGTGTATCCAGATGGCTCAGTGTCATTTTTCTGTTACAGCTCCTGGCCCAGCAATATACTTTTTTCCCACCTCGCCTTCTAGAAATTACTTCTGTTCATTGCAGGAGTAATCTTCACCCTGGGAACAGACCTAGTGACTGTGTCCAAATCTGAACACTGACACACTAACTGATAATCCTTTTGCAGCCTTACTTTGTTCTTCACTCACTAGTTGATGAGCTCCCAGATGCCAGACCAGAATTCAGTCCATAAAATGAAGACATTCCGTTTTACAGGGGCCACATCTAAATGGCGGAAGCAAGGGCATTAAAGCATGAAACAGTGCCTTCAAACTCACACTGAGCCATGTAACCCATGCTGAAAATCAATCTGGTTTCCAAATGAAGATCCTTAGATGCCGCAGTAATTTCCTGGAGAAAAAAAAGTGAGGGAAGGAGAGAATATCATTATAATAATACTAAAACCCAAACGAGAATGGCAAAATAATACAAAAGGACTGGTTTAATTAGCAGGTCTGCTGTTTTATTTCATGCTCAGTTGATAGGAGAAAGAATATTTTTAGCCAACTATTAAAATGAATGAATTTATAGATCTGAATATAATCACCGAGAAAAATGGCATTAACAAAAGTGTTTTAAACACGAACATGATACACATGATTTCTTTGTAATTGCTCTGCTCATTTAACTGTTACTTGTTCTGAAATCATGACAGATTCTGGGCTTGGGGAAAACTCTGTCAGGGTGAGTACATCCCTGCAGAGCTGATCTCTGAAGAGGTTGAGCTGCTTGTGACTTTACCCCCTTCTTCATGTGCTTCTGTTACTGTTTCTGTTTTGCAGACCCACTATGAGAACGGGGAGTATATCATCAGGCAAGGTGCAAGAGGGGACACCTTCTTCATCATCAGCAAAGGCACGGTAAGCCCCTGAGCACCAGAAGGCGCTGTACAGTGGGGTGGGGAGGCCGGGAGCCTCAGTAATCCCTGGAAGGGTGTGCATGGGGGCGTGTGCTGTGGGAGCTTTTCCATCTTCTGAAACTGAGAGAGAAACATTTGAGAATAGATCTCTCAAAAATGGTGCTGGAGGAAGAAAAAGTAGAATTCTGAAGACCAGAAAATAACCTTTGTTCTGTAATTTAATAACCATGATGCTAGATGCCACTGATATGTCTGCATAAATGGAATGATTTCCATCATTTAAATTACATAATTAAACAAGAAAAGTAAGGTGACTTTAGAAACTCTCCACAGGAAAAAACAAATAAAAAAAGAAAAACTTTATCTAATCATTAGGGGCAGTAACATAGCTATGGTGGAACACTTGGGCTTTAAAATCACAGGGTCCAGGGGCACCTGGGTAGCTCTGTCGGTTAAGCATCCGACTTCTGCTCAGGTCATGATCTTGTAGTCTGTAAGTTCGATCCCCTCTTTGGGCTCTGTGCTGACAGCTCAGAGCCTGGAGCCTGTTTCAGATTCTGTGTCTCCCTTACTCTCTGCCCCTCCCTTGCTCTCACTCTACCTGCCTGCCTCTCTCTCTCTCTCTCTCAAAAATAAACATTAAAAATTTTTAAATAATAAAATAAAATAAAATAAGATGGTCCAGGGCAGCCTGGGGGCTCAGTCACTTCAGCATCCAACTCGTGATTTCACCTCAGCTCATGATCCCAGGGTCATGAGATCCAGCCCTATGTTGGGCTCCATGTTGAGCATGGAGCCTGCTACAGATTCTCTCTCTCTCTCCCTCTACCTCTCACCCCTGCCCATGCTCACTCTCTCGCTCTCTCCAATAAATAAATGAATAAATGAACAAAATAAATAATAACAAAATGAAATAAAATAAAAGGCCCAAGTCTGAATCCCCCTACGAAACGTACCAGTCTCCGTATTCTTAGGCAAATTGCTTAGCACTCAGAACGTCAGGGTTACAAGTAGACTCATGTTTTATTATATCTTCACAAAGGAATGTTCAATGGGTACTTCTTAGTATCATTAAAAGTGATAAATTATAGGGGAAAGGATAAATGTAGGGTAGACAAAGGGTATGAATGAAAAGTCATAATTTATGCTTTTATATTACCTTTGAAGCATTAGAAATCTACTTTAACTTATATTTAAAAACTAAATAAATTAAGTGAATTGGAAAACGGGGACTTACGCAGATGAATGCCCTAGTTCTTTAAAAATGCATTACATTGGGGCGCCTGGGTGGCTTAGCTGGTTAAGCCGACTTTCGCTTAGGTCATAATCTCCCGGTTCTTGGATTCGAGCCCCGCATCGGGCTCTGTGCTGACTGCCAGCTCAGAGCCTGGAGCCTTTTTCAGAGTCTGTATCTCCGTCTCTCTCTGACCCTCCCCTGCTCACGCTGTCTCTCTCTCTGTCCTAGAAAGAAATAAAACATTAAAAAATAAATAAAAATGCATTACATTTCAACAGTGAAGTTATAACCATTTTTGTGTTTAAGTGTCACTGACTTATAACCAACGACCTGAACTCACTTTGCCTCATCATAAGGGATCCTTCAGAGGAATTTGTACCTACTCAGTCGGTGATAGGAAAGGAAATGCAGGTAGAAGGGAACTTATACAGCAGTTTTCATTTTGTAATTGTTATTTTAAAATGTAAATAAGCCAAGGGATGCCTGACTGGAATCATTGGGCAGAGCGTGTGACTTGATCTTAGGGTGGGGAGTTCCAGCCTCATGTGAGGCATAGAGTTTATTTCAAAAGTAAATAAAAATTTTAAAATAAAGCGGTAATTGTTTAAATGTAAATAAGTTGGTTTCTTCTAACTGAACAAATGCGACTGGCACTGGTACTTTATGGCTCCTATGAAAATAGCAAAGAGACTTATAGAGCCACAGTGAGCAGGATATATGAAAGATGAAAAAGTCTTGTTGGATCACTGTTTAGATAATCTTCTCTGAACGATTTTGAATCAAGAATGTGTCAAAGTTTACACCAATGACTTGTCACACTGCAGTGCAGACGTCACTGTCTGTGCTTGTATCATACCTGCTCTGTTGACTGACAGCACACAGATGTCAGGCACCAACATCTTAAAGACATCAAGAAATGATGTGTCTGGCCACAGTTTCAGTTAAAACTGTGTTTTAAATCTTCTAGTGTTAGAGGATCAGAAACCTTAACATTTTGTGGCTTATATATAAATTATTGGAGCTTTACCATTTGCTGCTTTATTTCTTACCATTAACTAAAGAATCAGGAGAAATTGAAAATTCTCGTGGATATAAATGATTCAGTAGGTCCCAGGGGGACTTCTTGTCCCGACAATCTGGATTCATTTTTTCTTTATTACATTTCTAGTTCTTTGCTCTCAGGGGATGATAATGTTTATCCATTTATGATGATTTTCTGACGGACTTTTGTGATTATCCCATTACTGCAAATTCCTAGCATTACCTAAAGGAACTTGTGGCTTTTAACCAGTTTATTTGAGAACAGGTGGGTTAGTGGTACTGCTTTATGAGTTTTGTAATGTGGATAAACAGAAATAACAAGGGAATTACACCACAGGAACCCATTCCCTTGGCAATATTTCAGAGCACCGTGGGGATCCTGGGAAAAAAGTAGTAAGAATATGTTAGACTCTTTGGACACATTCAAGATGTCTTTTTAAACCAGCCATAGATTTTTCCAAAACTAGTGTTTCATGTCCTGCAACTTATGAGCGATGATTTATAATCATGTTAATTATATGATAATTAACATAGGCTATATTAGTATGTTAATTCTATTAATTCTGGTATGCATGTATTGGAATTGGTGTATTAAATCGTAAGAAGCAGGAGATGAATCCGCTTTAAGTCCCAGTGAGACGGAATAGGTGAGAAAAGTACTAAGAGCCTTCAAGTAAGCAGGCACATAAGTTGTGGAATTGAAACTTTCCGAATCTGTATGCTTTGCTTTAGGTATACAGATGTAAACTTGTTTTCCTATACGTTTAAAAATTATCAAGGGCAACCCTGGCAAAGATCGTTTCCTTGTTACCACTGAACCGGCTTTTCCTTAGATCATGTTGTAAGATACCCACCGGGGGCTAGAGTTACACGTGGATTTCCCCTGCTCAAGACATTTAACTGTAAGAGTCTTTTTATTTTCCCGTGAAGCACATGTACACTAAGAGAAAAACTCTGAAATAGGCGTTTTTCCCCCATTAAACCTGCACAACCTGATTGTTCTAAAACTTGAGCAAAATGCTTGCAGTGATGTCTACAGTACTTGCTGCTGCCTCTTCTAGAAGCTGAGTTAGTTCTCTGAATATTTCAGTTGCCTGGAAACATGGCATTCCCTTCTCCTCAACCATGAACTATAAAATATTAGAGAATTCACAAAGGAGAACTGAAAACGACCTTTGCTAAAATTTTATGCATATGGTACTGTAACTGTGTTGCATCAAAAACTGAACTCTCTCCAGAAATAAGTTGAACCAAGATGGAACAGGATTGGTAGGCAAAATTTCAGAGTTGCAGTAATAATTCAAATACATTTTGATTTTCTGATTCTGTTCAACATACCGTATATGCTACCATTAGAAGCAAATGTGATTCAAAAACTCTTGTCTATTAAATGCCACTTAAAACCACATTTAAGTGGTTAGAATCAACCACTTTGCTTAGAATGAACACATTTTGAGCATGTTGGGTCAACAAATTGGTTTAACATGATGTTTGATTTTGTTGAATATGAAAATTATGGAAATTAAATTTGTATATGTGCAACAAGAGTGAAGCATGAGAAGCCCTTCTTGTAGATCAAGGACAAGATAAAGATGTACATTATCAGCACTTCTGTTCACTGTGCAACTAGACATGCCAATCGTTGTGATAAGGCAAAAAAAATATATCTGGAAGTGAAGAGATAGAACCATAATTATATATGTAAACCTGGAAGAAACACATTTATATCTCTAGAAGAATTAATGAAATATATACATATAATATATTCATCTAGTGGGATGATATGCAAAGAAAGGAAATGAACTACAGCAATATATATTAACACTGGAAAATTTGAAAAATCTCAAATATAATACCAATCAAAATAAGTTGCAGAAGAATATGTGTGGTAGGCTCATATTTTTATAAGGTTTAAAACCAGACAAATTTATGATATTTATGCCTGGGAGGAGATGTGAGGGCATGTCGGCACACACATTATGTCACAGACATTTGAAAGGGGATTATGAACAGCAGGTACATGGCAGACATCTGGGGAGAGTGGGTTAGGACATGTGGTAAGAGAGAGATTCTTATTTATCCCTGTGTAACACAGAAGGTCCAGTGATCAGATCAGACTCCAAGAAATCATACATCTTGACCAAACCATGAATTTAACTCATGACTCAGAGAATGCAGGCAAAATTCAAGCTGAGACAAAACATTCCTACCCTGTACATGTCCCAAGCTAGCAGATGCATCTCCTGAAGTGCCCTCATTGTCCTGTAGGGGGCATTTTGCTTTGAGAGTAAGAGGACCAATGTTTGAGTGCCACATGCAGAGCACTGTTTGAAAGCAGAAAGTCTTTGGTGTGGGGACTCTTGGCTTCCCATAATCTATTAGTCACACAGGTAGGATAACAATGACCTGACTAACCCTTATTCTCCATCTTCGTCTTTCCCATAAATCTGTAAATTCTGAGCTTTTTTCCCCCCAGTAAACATTGCTTTGGTTTTAAAATCTGTTGAATCTGTACCAAAGCATTCCATTTTCTCTTTGAATTGTTTTTGATTAAACATGTTGGTTGAGTACACTGATATTATTGAAGTCTTTGGTATCAAAGATCTATTTTATATGTCCCCTTAAAAATATCTAATATTTCTTTTGATTCTTAATTTTGATTTTTAATTTTTCAATATGCATATAGTTTACAAAAGAGTTTAGGGCCACCTGGGGGTCTTAGT